TCTTCCTCCTCTCAGTCCACCATCTCTTCCTCAGCCTTTCGCTATCTGACTTCTCGGCATCAGCAGACTACGAGAGAGAGAGAGAGAGAGAGAGACTGGTGACTTTGGGGATGTTGACGACATTGGGATACAGACTCGTCTTTGGGATCGAGACATTGACGAGGGACTATTTGGGGTCGATACCAGGGACACTTGTGTGACGACATTCCCATCTTCTCCCTCATCTTCGTCTAATCCCCCTCCTCTTCGTCCGTGGGTGTTTGGGGCTGGCGCATTCTTCCTGTGTGAGCGACAGGCCCCTTCACAACTTGTAATAATGATGAATGGATGATGTATGTTTAGTCTGCATTGCAGCATTGATTGGGTTGATCATTGGGCTCCTAGCATTCCGCTGCGCTATCTTGTACTATGTGAGGGAGGTCGGTCCTTGTTCTGGTTTGCACCATTACGGTATGCAACAGTTTGGTATCTCCTCCTCCTCTCACATGTGTGAAGTATGATGGGATGTCGTGTCAGTCCCGGTCAGGCCGGGACTTATATCCAAGTCTTCCACTGCGCTACAAAGTGCCATTTTGTATGTATCAGGATGTACACTGCTTGTTGAGATTCTACTAACACTGCAGTGTCCATTCAGTCCTTTTCATCACCTTGCGGATCCTTGGCTGTACATACATTGCCCAACTGGGCATGTATCAGTTGGTATCGGAGCACCACACGTGAATCAGGACAACTTGATCTGACATCTGGACCTAACTGCCAGAATTGAAATTTTTTCTTTTTCTGAAAATTCCAATTTTCGTTGTTCTTTTGTTTAAGGGAGATTGGGAGACCTACTGAACTTGCAAAACTCGGGATTTTTATTAATTTCTCGATTTTTTTTTTTTTTTTTTCTCTGCAAAAGTTCAAACTCTTCTTTTTGATTAGTGGCTCCTTATCTGGGCGATTTATCCCACCCACCCCTCCCCACCTATGTTGTTGCCCCCTCTGGTCATATCTTCTCTATCTGTCTCCGGGTACCCCCTGCGGAGGCATTGGTGAGTTGCCACGTCAGCAGGCCACATCAGCAGACTACGTCAGCAGGCCATGTCAGCAGACCATGTCAGCAGGCCACGTCAGCAGGCCATGTCAGCCAACAGCTGTGCCACATCAGCAAGACACGTCAGCCGAGCCACATCAGCAGGACACATCAGCCGACAGTCATGCCACGTCAGCAGTCCTCCGTCCTGGTCTATGCTCACGCGCTTACAAACAGCCGGCATGGATCAGAAGTCCGGGGAAACGCTCGAGGCCTATCAGGCCCGGATGCTGGCTTTGATTACCGAAGCCAAGAAACGGGCGGATGAGGTAGCAGCCACAGAGAAGAAGAAGGCAGAGGATCCCGAGAAGGCACGTCTGTTGGCAATCAAACAGCAGCGCCAGCAAGACGAGACAACAACAAAGGCTGCCGATGAAGAAGGAAATCAACGACGGGAGAAGATATTCAACGGAGAGCTAGCTTTGCTCACAATGGCAGCGGACTGGCGAGCCGAGGCCGAGAATGGTAAGATGGAAGAGTGAAAGCAAGATCACTCTACTCTCCCCTTTCACGGATCTCCTTGCAACGTGCATTGCAGAGCAGGAGGACATCCACAGCCTCGACGACGCGGTTCAGACGCACAAACGGGCGTTTGATCAAGTCAACAACCGCGTCCAGCAGCTGGAGCAACGACCCGTCACCGCCCCCGTTGCCAGCTCCTTCAACACCTCCAATCGCCTCAATGCATTGGAGATCAACGTCGGAGCCCTCAAGGACGGAGCGCAGCTACAGCAAACTGCCACGCAACAACTGGAGCAGCGGATCTGTGCTGCCGCCGCCAACCCGAGTTCGGCACCGCGTGAGATGACTCCAAAGTTCGATGGTCAAGAGATCTTCTGCGATTCGACGAAGACGGACCCGATTCCATGGTTCTGCAAGTTTGAACTCAAGTTGTAGCTACATCACGTCAGCGAGGACAAGAAACACGCGTACTTTTACTCGCGGTCGGGGGCTGCGTGCCAAGCATGGTTGGACAATCTCTTGTCCAAGTACGGGGTGGTAGCTGCCGACTTGTACACCAAGATCAACTGGGATGATCTAAAGGCGGCGTGGCATAAGCGGTTCCAAGTCGAGCCGCCGGAGATTAAGGCAATGAATAAATTGCTAACCTTCGAACAAGGCACGCTGCTGAGTGTTGACTGGATTGCCGAGTACCAACGCTTGACATTTGTCCCAGACATTCAGATGGGCTTCAAGGCCATCAAACACTACTTCATCACGAGGGCGTGTCCAGCGTTGGGCAATGCCTTGACTCACGTCGAGGACACCCTGACGACAACGACGGAGTAGCTGCCGACTTGTACACCAAGATCAGCTGGGATGATCTAAAGGCGGCGTGGCATAAGCGGTTCCAAGTAGAGCTGTCGGAGATTAAGGCAATGGATAAATTGCTAACCTTCGAACAAGGCACGCTGCCGAGTGTTGACTGGATTGCCGAGTACCAACGCTTGACATCCGTCCCAAACATTCAGATGGCTTCAAGGCCGTCAAACACTACATCACAAGGGCGTGTCCAGCGTTGGGCAATGCCTTGACTCACCTCGAGGACACCATGACGACAAGGACAGAGCTTTTTCACAAGGCCGTGCAGATCATTGTCACGAACAAGGAGGCCAAGAACCTCAACCGTTCGTCTGCGACAGGCCCGAGCAGAGATCAGCATCGACCGAAAGTGGCCGTGGTCGCGGTGGCAACACCAATCGACCCTTCTAGCGAGGCCGTGTCTGCTAATGAAGGGGACAGACTCGCAGCTGCCCGGGATGGTGGCTGTCCCGACAAAGGCCGAGGCCGAAGACAAACAGCGCATCTATCCCCGGGCCCGGCGCAACAGCTCCAGCCTCATGGTCCCCCTAAGGTCTCTCCGAACGTGCGTACAAGCTACGCACAAGATTCCGCTATTGTCTGTGGTGTATCAGTGATCTCCACGACACAGTGGGTTGCCCGTCAAAAGGCAAGGGCAAGTCGAGAAACTGAGCACCACCGGGAGAGAATCGACGACACTCTCGACGCCTTCGGAACCGGTCGCTTCGCGGGTGACCGCCCTTCGTTCTGAGGCACATGCGGAAGTCGATAGTCCTCCTCTTCTATATTCTTACGAGGACTATGCTGGCCAACTCGTTCCTGCGCTGGGTACTCATGCTCAAGGACAAGACGTGTGTGCGACATCTTCTCCGTCCGGCAGCGGCGACTTATCGTCTTCAAGTGGTTCTTTACGAGATTCGGCGCGCGAGTTCAACATAGAGGTCTTGGACCCGCTCACGCCGGAGGATTTTGCATAGCTTCCTCTCCCGACCACGGGCCGCTTGCCGGGACCGCAATGTGCAGCATTATGCGCTCATCTCCACACGCGTCTATCCTTCTATGCACCACCAGCTTCGTCGATGGATGACGAAGCTGCGGTGGGGGACATCCTTGCGTATGTTACCAAGGTGGCCCACGATTTTCGCAAGCAGCGGTACGATGACAACAACGCACCGCTCCTCTATGTCCGCATCCAAGTTGGGCAAGCGTCCCGCAGCGCTTTGCTGGATAGCGGAGCGACTCGCACTTTCATGAGCCAAGCCTTTATGCAAAGGGCTGGCCTTGGCGCACAAGTTCGGAGGAAGGCAAACCCGATGGCGATCAAGTTGGCAGACGGAAGGACGCACAACTTATTGACCGCTACATCGAGGCCGTACCGGTGTATTTCGCACCTCATGTATGCGAACCGGTGACGTTCGGCATTTCGGACACGGACATCGATATCATTTTGGGAATGCCTTGGCTTGCAAGTGTGGATCACACGGTCAACATCCACCGGCTGACTCTTACCGTTCGGGACGGCTTCGGCGCCGAAATGCCATGTACTATTCCTCTTCTGCACCCTTTGCTCCGGTGCCAAGTGGTGACGGCTAAGTCGTTCCGGGCTACTTGCGCTTACAAGCAGCCCAACGAGATAGGCCTATGCTTCCTACGGACGATCGCGGTAGCCGATTCTCCACGGACTTGTCTTCGGACCCCCGTGTGGTGCGGTTGCTTGACGAGTTCACCGACATCTTTGAGTCACCTACCGGTGCGGTGCCGGATCGCCCGATCTCTCACAAGATCATTCTTGAGGCCGGTGTCGTGCCGCCGAAAGGCTGCATTTACCGCATGAGCGAGGAGAAGCTTACGGTCCTCCGCGGGCAACTCGATGACTTGTTGGACAAAGGCTGGATCCGCCCTCGTAGCTCCCCATATGGAGCACCAATTCTCTTCGTACGAAAGAAGAACAAGGATCTACAAATTTGCATCGACTACCGCAAGCTCAACGCGCAAACCGTCAAGAATGCAGGGCCTCTTCCTCGTATTGACGATCTCCTTGAGCGTGTGCGTGGCGCAAAGTAATTTTCTAAGTTGGATTTGAAGTCGGGATATCATCAGATTTCGATCCGGCCGAACGATCGCTTTAAATCCACGTTCAAGACGCGGTATGGGCATTTTGAGTGGGTGGTCATGCCTTTTGGCCTCATCAATGCCCCGACGACCTTTCAAGCGGCAATGACCAATCAGTTTCGTGCGATGTTGGACCGGGCCGTGCTGGTCTACTTAGACGACATTCTCGTCTATAGCCGAACATTGGAGGATCATTTGGAGCATCTTCGACGAGTGTTGGAGACGCTCCGCCGCACCAAGTACAAAGTCAACGCGACAAGTGCGAATTTGTCCGACAAGAGTTGGAATACTTGGGCCATTTTGTCACACCGGAGGGCATCAGTCTGTTGTCAGACAAGATTCAAGCCATCCAAGAGTGGGTGGAGCCGCGGAACGTCACGGATGTCCGTTCGTTCCTTGGCCTTGCCGGCTACTACCAACATTTTATCAAGGGATACTCGAAGATCGCGGCCCACTTGACCAAGCTTCAATGCGAGGATCGACCGTTCGACTTCGGGGAGGATGCGCGGGAATCATTCTTGGCTCTCAAAGACGCATTATTATCCGCGGAGGTCTTGCGAATCTACGACCCGCTATTGCCAACGCGTGTCACTACGGATGCGTCTGGCTATGGCATTGGTGCCGTCCTCGAACAGCACGATGGTGTGGACTGGCACCCGGTCGTGTACTTCAGCAAGAAAGTGCCCGTCTTGCATTCCATTGATGATGCACGCAAAAAGGAGCTCCTAGCCTTCGTCCACACACTCAAGCGGTGGCGACACTTCCTCCTTCGTCGAAGTCAATTCCGATGGGTAACAGACAACAATCTGCTGGTCTTCTACAAGACCCAAGACACCGTCAATAGCACCATCGCCCGTTGGATGGCTTTCATCGAGCAATTCGACTTCTTTCCTGATCACATTCCGGGGAAGTCTAACCGTTTTGCGGATGCTCTTTCACGGCATTCGGGTCATTGTACCGCAGTCTATTCGACTTTCGAGATCGACGACGATCTGCGGGACAGTTTCATCCGCGGCTACCAAGCCGACCCCGAGTTTTGCGACAAGTACGCGAATTGCTCCTCGTAATCCGGCACCTTCTCACTACCGGCTCCAAGAGGGGTACTTGCTTGTCCACACGCGGGGGAAGGACCTTCTGTGTACCGAGTGACTCTAAAGGTCCATGCCTGTTCCGCCGTGGCATGCGCATGACTAAGTCGGTTTCCCCCCCTTGGCTGTTTTACCCCCTTCGTAAACCCAGGAACGCGGGCCGCACACTTTACGTACCCAGTTTTCTCCTTGGCCGTTTTACCCTTCCTAAACCCAGGGACGCGGGCGCCACACTTTACGTACCTGGGCAAGCTGGCGTCACACGTCTGCGTGTTAGCTAGGTATAGAAGCAGCAATACTTTTAGGTTTTTACTTCATCGGGGATGACTCCCGTCACGTGGGGTAGTAGGCTTCGACAAAGTGTGCCTACTTGAGAGCGAGGTCTTAACAAGCACATGGAGCCACACACCCACGTGCAATCGACCAGAGCTACACAACTGGGTCAAACGCGTCATGATCGCCTTACTCTTTCCTGGATAATGCGACCTACCATGTCAAACACATCATGATCCCCTTTGCTCTTACCAGGACGATGCGACCTACTCGTCTGTGGATGGTCACTCCTCTGGCATGCGGCACGAGAGAGCCGCCCCCCACTGTCTTCTCCCGAATAGAACATACGGTCCTTACAGCTGCATTTGGCCCAACTTTCAGTCCAGATGCGGCGAAAATGGCTGTACGTTCTATTCTGATGGGACTGTGACCAAGCATATTGGAAGCATTGTTGACTAAGGACTTGCCAAATGCATCCAACATCTCAACTCATGTGAGCAAAAACAAGTCGATAGGAGGGGATTGTGAACAAAAAAAATAAAAAATACACCCCCCCCATCACGAGGTTCAAGCATACAACGCATGCATGCCTCCTTCAACAAATGCATCCCAAGGTTACTCAGACGAACGGGTTTTGTGAATTCAATCGAGGAATGGAACCCCATGACCCTTAAGTAAAGGGGGTTGTGAATTCAACTGAAAAAAAATCACAGAAGACTCAGAGAAGCGCAAAAAAAGAGGGGCTTAGGTCCTCGATCCACTACTCAACATTCTCCATCTCTCTCTCTCTCTCTCTCTCTCTCTCTCTCTCTCTCTCTCTCTCTCTCTCTCTCTCTCTCTCTCTCTCTCTCTCTCT